TCCAGTCTTGTCAATCCAATTGCAGACAAAGCTCCTGGTGCGATGGTGTGTAGAAGATTATGATTCAAACTCAAGGTTCCAAGAGTAACGTTTTCAAAGACACCACTTGAAAATTCAGTGAGTTTGTTCCTATCAAGTGACACGTATTCAGCTTTGAAATTCGTGAAGGCTCCTGGTTCTAGAAGGGTGATTGAGTTGGATGACAAAACTACATGCGATACGTTTAGATTGGTAAAAGTAGCAGTTTTGATTTGTGTCAAGTCGTTCGAAGCGAGAAGAAGATCTTCCAAAAGCGGTAAGTTACCAAAAGCTTCCGGTTCGATTTCTTCCAAACCCACGCTGGACAAGTCAAGTGTCTTCAAATTAGGTACATCAAAAACCGATTTTTCATACAGGATGGGAACGTTTCCAAAGATTTCCACGGACACTTGGGTTTTATTGGGAATGATTTTCTTAAGATCGTCAGATGTAGCTACCGACTCTACTAGTTCGTCATTAAGAGACCACTGCACTGTCACATTTTCGAAAGTAATTTTTTCACTGATAGTAACTTTAACAAGTAAAATACAGACTAGTAGGTTTAACACAAAAGAACGCATCTTGATTACTGAAGTAGTTTACGATAAATGTTGCTTTTATAATGTAAGATGGAAAGTTATAGATGTACGTGTGATTAACTGAGTTGTTTTCCAATACATCTGATTAAGATTAAGATGACATGCATGACACGTACTTTTAAAAGAATTTCTAAGATTCTTGGTGAATTCAATTTTCTTTATTGGATAAATATTCAAATCAAGAAAATGACGTTTTCATGTTAAGAGAGTTTTACTCCTCCCACGTTCACTGCTATTTTGAAAACAACAAAATTTTGAAGAATTCAGTAAAAGTAAAATTACCGAAAACAATTGACCAAAAATAATTAACATTATTAAAAGTTGGTCGAAGGTTATTTCGACGGGACTTCTCTCGTACAATTCAACAAATCCTACAAATAATACATTGCAACTATCCAACGGACAAAAGTTGTCCTTTTAGGATAAATACAAAAATACAAATTTAATCAACCAATAAACTCAAATTAAATCAGACATTTCTCCAAGTTTTTGTAGTAACAAACCTCTTGTGACCACATTAAAATGCTACCGCTGTGATAAAGTGTGTCTAAAGAAATTACCATCTTCTGTTGGATGAAATCGCCTCACGTGATACATGAATTATATTCTCAGTAGAATAATATAAGTTGAATTTTTCCATAATAATAATAATTTGTTTATTTTTTTTTTATTAATTATTATTAGAAAATAATCATGAGAACTTGAATAAATAAAAATTGAATTAAAATTTTCAAATAAGTACAATAAAAATTATTACATGATCGTTTTCAGGGTTGGACTTCATGTCATATAATTCATTTCAAATAACATTTCTTCAATTTAGCACAAAAAATAAAACTTACGTTAAATACATGATTTGGAGGCAATTTTCACTTACGAATCCTCTCAAACTTCATGATAACAACTCTTTTATTATTTATTTTATAAAAAATCATCTTATATGCTACGGGTCAATCTGGAATCTCAGTTATTAGATTATAATAACTGACATTTACCAATGGTGTGTTACTCTCTACAAAAAAAAACAATTTATTCTTCTAACTGCATATGTATTAAACCAAAAACTACAAATAATGTGTTAAATCAATGTTATAAAAATTAGAATCCGCCTTAATCGACTCACTCCGCTGGCGTTGGAATAAATTCCTCTATCTTCTTAACACACTCTTCATTCCAAGGATTATTTCGCAAATTTGTAACTTCAACATTTTTGAAAACCGTCTTCAACTCTCCTTCAATACATTGTAACTTATTTCCATTGAGACCCAAACTACCAATACTAACATTCCCCAACAAATCTGGATTCCAACTATCAATATCATTAGAGGCCAAGTTTAAATAATAATCAACGCGTTCCAACTTATCAAATGCTTTAGCTGAAATCTTCCCAATTTTATTCCCCTTAAGATCAATAATCTTCACACGAGGATAATTCTTGAACGCTTCGTCTGGAATCTCAGTTATCTGATTAAAATTGACTGAAATATGAACAAGTGATTTTGCCCCTCTCAGCCAATTATTATCCCATTGGGTTAGATTATTAGAGTTAATGAACAATATTTCAAGCTCTGGCATGTCATCAAAAGCTTTACTCGCGATTTTAGCAATCTTATTTGCGTTTAATTCCAACCGAGTGAGTTTGGTATTGTTGAAAACCCCCTTTGGAATTTCTTTCAATTCGTTTCTCGCAAGTCTAAGTATCTTCAAATTTGGTAAGTTTCTCAAATCACCGGGTCGCAAAAGCTTGACTAAATTATCATCCAAATTTAGTGCTAATAATTCTTGTATGTCAAAGACCTCTGGCTCGATTTCCTCGAGTTTGTTTCCAAACAGACTCAATGTTCTCAATGCAATTTTCGACAAAGCACTTGAAGCGATGGTGTGGAGAAGATTGTCTCTCAAAATCAAGTTTTCTAGAGTAAAATTTTCGAAGACACGACTTGGAAGTTCAGCGAGTTTGTTGTTACGAAGATCCACGCGTTCAGCTTTGATATTTTTGAAAGCTCCGGGTTGTAGAAGGACGATTGAGTTGAATGACAAGTCTATGTAAGACACATTTAAATCGACAAAAGTATCAGTTTTGATTTGTGTTAAGTTATTCGAATCCAGAAGGAGTGCTTTTAAAAGTGGTAAATTACCAAAAGCTCCGGGTTTGATTTCTTCCATACCTACACCGGATAGGCTGAGTGTGTTCAGATTTGGTATATCGGAAACCGATTTTTCGTACAAGATGGGAATGCTGCCCTGGATCCAAACTGGCACTTTTTCTTCTTCAACAGGAATGATTTTCTTAAGATTGTCAGATGTATATACCGAGTCTTGCGTCTCATTACCAACATACCATTGAACCGTCACATTTTTGAAAGTAACTTTTTCAGTGTTACTAAGTTTCAAAAGAAAAATACACAGGAGTAGGTTTATTAGTGAAGAACGCATCTTGAATACTGAAGTTGTTTATGCTGAATGTCGTATTTATACGGTCATAAAGGATTTTCCAATACGTTTGATTAAAATTAAGTTAGTCACATGATGACGATTTCTTGGTTAGTAGTGAAATAAATTTTCTTTATTAAAAAAATATTCAAATCAAAGCAGCGCTAGATTCTTGTTAAATGCGATTACGACGTTGTCACAAAAGTACTGGAAGTATTGTGATCTCCCTTTTTCATCTGTCTGTCTGTCTGACGTCTGCGTCGATTTTTGTTATACAATAAAAATTATTATTCAAAATTACACAATTTACACTATGAAATATAATTTTTTTTTAGAATCTCAATATTCACAACGAATAACATGATGGTGGGTAGACGGAGCTTAAATTTTGCCTTTTTTTCTGGATATACGTAACAATTTTTTCACGACAATATATTTAAAACGTTTAAAATGGTAATTTTTTCTCGGGAAGCATCGATTTTACAATTAAGTTGCGCCCCTCGGTCTGACAACAAATGAAAAATTCATCACAATCTAAATCGGGGCGGGTGGGTGGGGCTTATTTTTTGGATATACTTTCCTTTCAACAGCATGTTATTTAAAAACATGTCCCACACAATAATTTCTTGTAGAGAAATAAACATTCTCCAATAAACTCCGCCCTTCGGCTCACAACGAATAAAAACGTTATTACAATTGAAATGAGGGCGGGTGGGCGGCGTTTGTAATTTGCTTTTTTTTCTTAATATATGTGCGTACTTTTCTTTTCACGACAAGAAACTGAAAACATGTTTAAAAGGGTAAATTTGTAAAGAAGTATATTGGATAAAATTTACCATTTTAAACATGCTTTTAGTTTTTTGTAATGGAAAAAACAATATATATTAAGGAAAAAAAATGCAAAACATAAGCCCCACCCACCCACGCTACCTCAATTGTGACGCTCTTTCTTTGTTCGTCATTAGTCAAGAGAGGCGGAGCAAAATTCGTATTTTTCTAGAAAAATTACCATGTGATACATGTTCTTCAGTGATGCTCAGAGAAAAATATTTGTGTTTTAAGTAACAAAAAACAATAATCCCCACCCATCCGTCTGGATCTCAATGGTGATGAATTTTCCATTCGTTGTCAGACTGGGGGGCGAAACGTAATTACAAAGTCCATATTTCCTGATTTAAACACGTTTTAAGTTTCTTGTTGCGAAAAGAACACTACGAATATTAAGAACACAAAAGACAAAATATAAGCCCCGCCCACCTACCCCACGTCTATTGTAATGAATTTTTTATTCATAGTGAGCCAAGAGGGTGGACCTTAAAATCCTTATTTCTCTACAGGAAATTATCATGTAAAACATGTCTTTGAGTATAGAGTTGTTCAAAAAATACTATGTATATTAAGTAAAAAATAAAGGCAAAGATTAAGCCCCACCAACATACCCATCACCATAAAAAAAAAATAATAAACTTTATTCAATTCATGGATAAAGGACTATCTTGGACTAATTTTAATCGACGAAAACGATTTCTTGCTTTCTTATAATATTATAAAATTTGATTTTGCGATTTTCGCTTTCGTGGTAACAACGGAAAATTTGGAAAAACATCTGATTGTTAATTTTAATAGAAAACAAAGTATGGGTAACATTTCATAGTCTGTATGATATTCATAATACACATAAAATTTGTCTGACCCATTTATCTGTCTAATAAAAATCCGTGACGGCAGACAGGCAGACAGACAGACAGACGGACAGACGGACAGACAGACAGACAGACGGAAATGGGCGACCTATTTCTTCGTACGCTAGGTCATGAAAGGTCGAGAAAACATGAAACTAGAGAGTAAAAAAAACAACAGTTGTTCTATTTGCGTATGTATTAAAGTAAAAACTACATATTTATTATAGCACAATATTCTATCAAATTGTAATAGTTGCTAACCATCCCACTACGGTATCCGGTTCTTTTTTTTCTGAAACTTCTCAACCTTCTTAGCGCACTCTTTTTTCCAAGGATTATTTTCCAAACATATCTTTTGAACATTCTTGAAAATTGTTTCCAAATCTCCTTTAATACACTTTAACCTATTTCCACTGAGATCCAAACTAACAATGCTAACATTCCCCAATGTATCTGGATCCCAGTTATCAATCTCATTATCGGCCAAATTAAAATAACGAATCTGTTCCAATTTCCGAAAAGCTTTATTTGAAATCTTCCTGATGTGATTCCCCTGAAGATTAATATTGAACAACCGAAAATAGTTCTTGAAAGCTTCATCTGGAATCTCAGTAATCTAATTAAAACGGACTGAGATAGAAGCGAACGGTGATGTCAGCCAATCATCCCATTGGGTTAGATTATTGGAGTCAATCTTCAACACTCTAAGCGCCAACATGCCATCAAAAGCTTTACTCGCAATTTTAACAATCTGGTTTGTAGCTAGATTCAAATAGGTGAGTTTGGTGTTGTTGAAAATACCATCTGGGATTTCTTTCAACTCATTTTCCTCGAGACTCAGCGCCTCCAACACGGGCAAGTTTCTCAAATCACCAGGTCGCAAAAGCTTGATTGAATTATCATCCAAATCGAGTGATGCTAATTCTTGCATATCAAACACCTCCGGATCGATTTCCTCGAGTTTGTTACCAAACAGACTCAATGTAGTCAATCCAATTGCAGACAGAGCTTTTGGTGCGATGATGTAGAGATGATTATCACCCAAACTTAAGCTTCTCAGAGTAACATTTTCGAAGACACCACTTGAAATTTCAGTGAGTTTGTTCTTATCAAGTGACACGTGACCAGCTTTGAAATTCTTGAAGGCTCGTGGTTGTAAAAGGAAGATTGAGTTGGATGACAAATCCAGATATGATACATTTAGATCGGTAAAAGTACCACTTTTGATTAGTGTCAAGTTATTCCGATTCAAAAAAAGAGTGTCTAAAAGTGGTAAATTACCAAAAGCTCCGGGCTTGATTTCTTCCAAACCCACGTCAGCCAGGTCGAGACTGTTCAAATTTGGTATGTCGAAAACGGATTTTTCGTACAAGATGGGGACGCCTCCGGTGATGTCCACCCTCACTGGTTCTTCGTCAGGAATCATTTTTTTAAGATTGACAGATGTGGCTTGGGTCTCTAGTGCCCCTTTGTAAAAATACGACCGAACTGTCACATTTTCGAAAGTAATTTTATCACTGTTACTAACATTGAAAAGACAAATACGGACTACTAGGTTTAGTAGTAAAGAATGCATCTTGGTGACTGAAGGTGTTTACGTTGAATGTCGTATTTATAAGGTAATATAGAAAGGTATGTAGGTGTGACTGATGAATTGTTTTCCAACAAATTTGATTAAAATTAAGTTAGTTACATGTATGACACGGACTTTTAAAAAGAATTTGATAGATTCGTGGCGAAATGAATTTTCATTATTAGATAAATATTCAAATCAAGGATACGCTTATCTCGTCCAGTTACTTACTCATCCGACCTTCATTACTGAAAACTGCTTGAAAAGAACTAAAACATAACGATACTGTACGATTTTCTGTCTATCCAGTTGTTAAAACTTTTTATAATCCACAACAACTTTTACAATCCCTTCATTATCTTTTATTGATACCCCTTCTCGATTCATTTCAAAAATTTTCAATAAGTTAGATTACAACATCGCTTTCAAAACTAAAAAAGTCTTACTTAAATGTTAATGATTATTGCCCTGCTATCGACATCTAATGTACACGTTCCAAATTTTACAAAAAAAAAAATTATTAAAACAACTCGCTCATATTTTCCGTTCAAAAATTAAAATACCACTTAATTGACAACATTGTCCAGAGAGATTTTTGGTGCCAAGATGTGCTGTCAAAGAAATTGAGGTTAGGACGAATATGATTTTTATTCAAATTACGTCGCTTTTGTTTATTTTATTTTGACGTTTTTGTTATGAAATTTCAAATTTCAAGTTTTTTGTACTACCAACTTGCCAGTGTAAAAATAAACCCTAGAGGGATTTTATTTGGTTTCTTAATTTTGGAATAAACAATTCGCTGCGTTCACTCGGGAAATTGATGAAAAATTATGGCCAATTTTTCAAAGTCGAGGGGTCTTTTGGTCTATTTCTTGAAGACAATTGTAAACACTCATAATTGAAATCCAAAATCGCTCTATCCGTATTTTCCTCGTCATCATAACAAACTAAATGTATTAATATCGTTATAAAATTTAGTGTGTTTTCATTGGTCCATGTGGGGAAATGTTCGCTTAATACTATGCTATCATTGGTTGATGCAGGGAGCTTGTCGATCGAAAAGTTTTTGACTAAAAAAATGTTCACGTAAGTCGCCTATGATTTGTCATAGTTTGATTTTTCTCACAATTTTATTGGACGAAATTTTCTGAGGAAAATAGTCTTAAGAATTTATTTCGTTTGAAATAAATATTGAACTAAAAATTTTAAATATATGCAATTAAATTTATTCTTAAAATAAAACAACAGTTGTCCTATCTGCCCATGTATTAATCGAAGAACTGCATATTTATTATACTTAACACGATATTCTATAGAATTAGTATAGTTGGTAGCCACCCCACCAGGATATCTATTTTTTCTTCTACTGTAACTCCACAATCTTCTTAGCGCATTCTTCCTCCCAAGGATTGTTATCCAAATAGACAATTTGAACATTTCTGAAAATTGTTTCCAAATCTCCTTTAATGCACTTTAATCTATTTCCACTGAGATCCAAACTAACAATTATTATTATTATTATTATTATTAATATTATTATTAAGTAGTAAGTTGACCAACAGGTCAAAGCCCAATTACAGGTCAACTATAATACGCCTTAACATGAAGAAAGGAAGAAATACTGCAGCTATAATTACTGGAGTTCTGTGATAAGAGTTCAGCATGCCAAGGCGATATCAAAACTGAAACTAATACTAGACAAAGTTATCTAAAGATATCAAAGACATACGGATCTAAGTTATACTGGTGACACATTTCATAGACTGGAGAGTGTTTTTCGATATTTAGACGAGGAGTTGGAAGATAAAAACATTGATTAGATCGAGATGACATTCTAGGTACCAAGATGAATATCTTACCAAGAAGATCAGTGCAATCAACGTGAAAATTTATCACATTACGAAGAAATTTTAACGAGGCGATACACCGTCTAGTACTTAAGGCTTCTACTTTAAATCGTTCTAACAAGACAGAGTGAGGAATACCTCTGACTGGATAAACACCATCCTCCTTAAATGCCGTGTATTTTAAAAAACGTCGTTGTATGTTTTCCAGATGGTTAATACGATTTTGTGTGAAAGGAGCCCAAACAATACATGCATACTCGAGCTTTGAGCGAACGTAAGCAAAGTACAGCAGTCGCAAGCTATCAACCTGTGTAAAATCTCTACCACACCTTATAATAAAACCAAGTGACCTGAAAGCACTATTACATATATGTTCCACATGATTAGCAAAACTGAGCTTACAATCAAAAATGACGCCTAGATCTTTAAATGTATCCACTCTAGCAAGACTCATGTTGTTTAATTTATAGTCGAATTGAATTTGTGTGCACTTATTGGTAATGGTCATTATGTGACATTTCTTATAGTTCACTGGGAGTAAGTTAGACAAACTAAATTCATGAAACCTATTTAAATCATCTTGCAACAAGATGCAGTCCTCTATGGTTGAGACGTCTTTATAAATCTTAAGATCGTCAGCATATATTAAAACGTTAGATTTTATGTTCTTAACAATGTCATTAATGTAAACAATAAACAGAAGAGGGCCCAGCACGTAGCCCTGAGGCACCCCCGAGGGAACAGGTCTTTTTATCGACTCGTGTCCACAATATGTAACACACTGTAACCTATTAGCTAGATATGATTCAATTAAATTAACTAATGAAACAGAGAGACCAATATTACTTAATTTTGCCAATAGAATTACATGATTTAATTTATCAAATGCCTTAGAATAATCAGTGTATACTACATCTACCTGGAGCTTGGAATCAAGCGAGTCAGCTGCAAATTGAGTAAATGTGCATAAATTTGTAACCGTGGATCGACCGTTGACAAAACCATGTTGATATTCACTAATTACATTTCTGAAATTAAAAAGAAGATGCTTGTGTAATATTATTTCAAAAACTTTAGAAAAATTACAAATTAATGATATGGGCCTGTAATTTTCAATTACATTTCTTTCGCCAGTTTTAAAAATTGGAGATACTATTGATAGTTTCCATATTTCAGGAAATTTACAGGTTCTTAGAATTAAATTAAAAAGAATTGTTAGAGGTGGAGTTAGTATACAGGCACAATCTGTCAGAATAAAGCCTGGAATATTGTCATGTCCTGAACACATATTAGGTTTGATCTTTTTCAAAGCGTTTAGAACATCTGATTCCGAGATAGTGTTTAGATTTATTATTGGGTTTAACATTTGATAATCAGCAAAATCGTCAGCGTTATTCACGGTGCAATTATTATAATTACTGGAAAAATATTCTGCAAATGCATTGACAATATCATCAGGTTTGTTAAGAAGTTTATTTGAATAGCTCAGCTGCGAAGGTATACCCCTATGCCTACTAAGGTTGTTTACATGGGACCAAAATTTACTGGGATTAGATTTAATATTCACCTCAACGTTAGTTATATATCGTTTGTATTCTAAGTCGATGTCACGTTTTATCTCAGACCGTATCTTTTTAAACTTGCTATGTATCTCAGTTTCATTGATAGTTGATTTAAGCTTACGGTGTAGGGTGTTTTTAAGTTTCAGTTTCTTTATAATGACTGGAGTAAACCAAGGCGGAAAGCATATTTTACGGGAACGACGAGTTTTGGGAACATGTAGGTTGAGTGCATTATTTAGTTTATCGTAAAATATACCAGAAGCAATATTAATATCACTAATGCTGTTAAGCTCAGTCCAGTTGATTTTCATTATCTCTTTATACAAATTTGGGTAATCACTAATCAGCTTGTCGAAAGTTCCAGTGGGCATTAACTATTCCACTGTGACTAATTGAGTTGGTTTTTTTGCCACGCTGAGTTTTTGAGATAATCAGAGAGGGATGGTGAACATCCTCATCCACTAAAGAGTCATCACACTTATCAACAGAACAATAAAAACTACCAATAACCAAGTCAAGACAACGTTCATTAATATTATTAACGTTATTGTACTGTTTGTAGTTGCAGAAATTGAGAAAATTGAACAGGGATGAAATTTTTTTGTTACTTGTCACAGGAAGCGACAAATTTGAACAATGCTAACATTACCCAGTAAATCTGGATTCCAGTTACCAATCTCATTATAGGCTAAATTTAAATGATCAATGTGTTCTAATTTATAAAACGCCTTAGTTGAAATCTTCCTAATTTTATTCCCCTGGACATCAATTTTGGTCACATTAGAATTATTCTTTAATACTTCGTCTGGAATCTCAGTAATCAAATTATAACTGATTGAAATTTCAGAAATTGATTTTGCCTCACTCAACCAATTATTATCCCAATCTGTAACCTTATTGAAGTCAAGTCTCAATACTATAAGCTCAGGCATGTCCTCAAATGCTTTACCAGCAATTTTAGCAATCTGGTTGTTGGCTAGATACACGTAGGTGAGTTTGGTGTTGTTAAAAACTCCTTCTGGGATTTCTTCCAATTGGTTTTCCGAAAGCCAGAGTTCCTTCAACTCTGGTAAGTTTCTCAAATCAGCAGGTCGCAGAAGCTTGATTGAGTTTGAATACAAATCGAGTGATACTAACTCTTGCATATCAAAAATTTCCGGATCAATTTCCTCGAAATTGTTTCCAAACAACTTCAGTCTTGTCAATCCAATTGCAGACAGAGCTCCTGGTGCGATGGTGTGTAGAAGATTATGATTCAAACTCAAGGTTCCAAGAGTAACGTTTTCAAAGACACCACTTGAAAATTCAGTGAGTTTGTTGCTATCAAGTGACACGTATTCAGCTTTGAAATTCGTGAAGGCTCCTGGTTCTAGAAGGGTGATTGAGTTGGATGACAAAACTACCTGCGATACATTTAGATTGGTAAAAGTAGCAGTTTTGATTTGTGTCAAGTCGTTCGAAGCAAGAAGGAGATCTTCCAAAAGTGGTAAGTTACCAAAAGCTTCCGGTTCGATTTCTTCCAAACCCACGCTGGACAAGTCAAGTGTCTTCAAATTAGGTGCATCAAAAACCGATTTTTCGTACAGGATGGGAACGTGTCCGAAGATTTCCACGGACACTTGGGTTTTATTGGGAATGATTTTCTTAAGATCGTCAGATGTAGCTACCGACTCTACTAGTTCGTCATTAAGAGACCACTGCACTGTCACATTTTCGAAAGTAATTTTTTCACTGATAGTAACTTTAACAAGTAAAATACAGACTAGTAGGTTTAACACTAAAGAACGCATCTTGATTACTGAATTAGTTTACGATAAATGTTGCATTTATAATTTAAGATGGAAAGGTATAGGTGTACATGTGATTAACTGAGTTGTTTTCCAATACATCTGATTAAGATTAAGATGACATGCATGACACGCACTTTTAAAAAGAATTTCTAAGATTCTCGGTGAATTTAATTTTCTTTATTAGATAATTATTGAAATCAAGGAAATGACGTTTTCTTGTTAAGCGAGTTTTACTCCTCACACGTTCACTACTATTTTGAAACCAACAAAATCTTGAAGAATTCAGTAAAAGTAAAATTACCGAGAACAATTGACCAAAAATAATTAACATTATTAAAAGTTGGTCGAAGGTTATTTCGACGGGACTTCTCTCGTACAATTCAACAAATCCTACAAATAATATATTGTATCTATCCAACGGACAAAAGTTGTCCTTTTGGGATAAATACAAAAATACAAATTTAATCAACCACTAAACTCAAATTAAATCAGACATTTCTCCAATTTTTTCTAGTAACAAACCTCTTGTGACCACATTAAAATGCTACCGCTGTGACAAAGTGTATCTAAAGAAATTACCATCTTCTATTGGATGAAATCGCCTCACGTGATACATGAATTATATTCTCAGTAGAATAATGTAAGTTGATTTTTTTTATTAATTATTATTAGAAAATAATCCTGAGAACTTGAATAAATAAAAATTGAATTAAAATTTTCAAATAAGTACAATAAAAATTATTACATGATCGTTTTCCGGGTTGGACTTCATGTCATATAATTCATTTCAAATAACATTTCTTCAATTTAGCACAAAAAAATAAAACTTACGTTAAATACATGATATGGAGGCAATTTTCACTTACGAATTCTCTCAAACTTCATGATAACAACTCTTTTATTATTTATTTTATAAAAATCATCTTATATGCTACGGGTCAATCTGGAATCTCAGTTATTAGATTATAATAACTGACATTTACCAATGGTGTGTTACTCTCTACAAAAAAAAACAATTTATTCTTCTAACTGCATATGTATTAAACCAAAAACTACAAATAATGTGTTAAATCAATGTTATAAAAATTAGAATCCGCCTTAATCGACTCACTCCGCTGGCGTTGGAATAAATTCCTCTATCTTCTTAACACACTCTTCATTCCAAGGATTATTTCGCAAATTTGTAACTTCAACATTTTTGAAAACCGTCTTCAACTCTCCTTCAATACATTGTAACTTATTTCCATTGAGACCCAAACCACCAATACTAACATTCCCCAACAAATCTGGATTCCAACTATCAATATCATTAGAGGCCAAGTTTAAATAATAATCAACGCGTTCCAACTTATCAAATGCTTTAGCTGAAATCTTCCCAATTTTATTCCCCTTAAGATCAATAATCTTCACACGAGGATAATTCTTGAACGCTTCGTCTGGAATCTCAGTTATCTGATTAAAATTGACTGAAATATGAACAAGTGATTTTGCCCCTCTCAGCCAATTATTATCCCATTGGGTTAGATTATTAGAGTTAATGAACAATATTTCAAGCTCTGGCATGTCATCAAAAGCTTTACTCGCGATTTTAGCAATCTTATTTGCGTTTAATTCCAACCGAGTGAGTTTGGTATTGTTGAAAACCCCCTTTGGAATTTCTTTCAATTCGTTTCTCGCAAGTCTAAGTATCTTCAAATTTGGTAAGTTTCTCAAATCACCGGGTCGCAAAAGCTTGACTAAATTATCATCCAAATTTAGTGCTAATAATTCTTGTATGTCAAAGACCTCTGGCTCGATTTCCTCGAGTTTGTTTCCAAACAGACTCAATGTTCTCAATGCAATTTTCGACAAAGCACTTGAAGCGATGGTGTGGAGAAGATTGTCTCTCAAAATCAAGTTTTCTAGAGTAAAATTTTCGAAGACACGACTTGGAAGTTCAGCGAGTTTGTTGTTACGAAGATCCACGCGTTCAGCTTTGATATTTTTGAAAGCTCCGGGTTGTAGAAGGACGATTGAGTTGAATGACAAGTCTATGTAAGACACATTTAAATCGACAAAAGTATCAGTTTTGATTTGTGTTAAGTTATTCGAATCCAGAAGGAGTGCTTTTAAAAGTGGTAAATTACCAAAAGCTCCGGGTTTGATTTCTTCCATACCTACACCGGATAGGCTGAGTATGTTCAGATTTGGTATATCGGAAACCGATTTTTCGTACAAGATGGGAATGCTGCCCTGGATCCAAACTGGCACTTTTTCTTCTTCAACAGGAATGATTTTCTTAAGATTGTCAGATGTATATACCGAGTCTTGCGTCTCATTACCAACATACCATTGAACCGTCACATTTTTGAAAGTAACTTTTTCAGTGTTACTAAGTTTCAAAAGAAAAATACACAGGAGTAGGTTTATTAGTGAAGAACGCATCTTGAATACTGAAGTTGTTTATGCTGAATGTCGTATTTATACGGTCATAAAGGATTTTCCAATACGTTTGATTAAAATTAAGTTAGTCACATGATGACGATTTCTTGGTTAGTAGTGAAATAAATTTTCTTTATTAAAAAAATATTCAAATCAAAGCAGCGCTAGATTCTTGTTAAATGCGATTACGACGTTGTCACAAAAGTACTGGAAGTATTGTGATCTCCCTTTTTCATCTGTCTGTCTGTCTGACGTCTGCGTCGATTTTTGTTATACAATAAAAATTATTATTCAAAATTACACAATTTACACTATGAAATATAATTTTTTTTTAGAATCTCAATATTCACAACGAATAACATGATGGTGGGTAGACGGAGCTTAAATTTTGCCTTTTTTTCTGGATATACGTAACAATTTTTTCACGACAATATATTTAAAACGTTTAAAATGGTAATTTTTTCTCGGGAAGCATCGATTTTACAATTAAGTTGCGCCCCTCGGTCTGACAACAAATGAAAAATTCATCACAATCTAAATCGGGGCGGGTGGGTGGGGCTTATTTTTTGGATATACTTTCCTTTCAACAGCATGTTATTTAAAAACATGTCCCACACAATAATTTCTTGTAGAGAAATAAACATTCTCCAATAAACTCCGCCCTTCGGCTCACAACGAATAAAAACGTTATTACAATTGAAATGAGGGCGGGTGGGCGGCGTTTGTAATTTGCTTTTTTTTCTTAATATATGTGCGTACTTTTCTTTTCACGACAAGAAACTGAAAACATGTTTAAAAGGGTAAATTTGTAAAGAAGTATATTGGATAAAATTTACCATTTTAAACATGCTTTTAGTTTTTTGTAATGGAAAAAACAATATATATTAAGGAAAAAAAATGCAAAACATAAGCCCCGCCCACCCACGCTACCTCAATTGTGACGCTCTTTCTTTGTTCGTCATTAGTCAAGAGAGGCGGAGCAAAATTCGTATTTTTCTAGAAAAATTACCATGTGATACATGTTCTTCAGTGATGCTCAGAGAAAAATATTTGTGTTTTAAGTAACAAAAAACAATAATCCCCACCCATCCGTCTGGATCTCAATGGTGATGAATTTTCCATTCGTTGTCAGACTGGGGGGCGAAACGTAATTACAAAGTCCATATTTCCTGATTTAAACACGTTTTAAGTTTCTTGTTGCGAAAAGAACACTACGAATATTAAGAACACAAAAGACAAAATATAAGCCCCGCCCACCTACCCCACGTCTATTGTAATGAATTTTTTATTCATAGTGAGCCAAGAGGGTGGACCTTAAAATCCTTATTTCTCTACAGGAAATTATCATGTAAAACATGTCTTTGAGTATAGAGTTGTTCAAAAAATACTATGTATATTAAGTAAAAAATAAAGGCAAAGATTAAGCCCCACCACCATACCCATCACCATAAAAAAAAAATAATAAACTTTATTCAATTCATGGATAAAGGACTATCTTGGACTAATTTTAATTGACGAAAACGTTTTCTTGCTTTCTTATAATATTATAAAATTTGATTTTGCGATTTTCGCTTTCGTGGTAACAACGGAAAATTTGGAAAAACATCTGATTGTTAATTTTAACAGAAAACAAAGTATGGGTAACATTTCATAGTCTGTATGATATTCATAATACACATAAAATTTGTCTGACCCATTTATCTGTCTAATAAAAATCCGTGACGGCAGACAGGCAGACAGACAGACAGACGGACAGACGGACAGACAGACAGACAGACGGAAATGGGCGACCTATTTCTTCGTACGCTAGGTCATGAAAGGTCGAGAAAACATGAAACTAGAGAGTAAAAAAAACAACAGTTGTTCTATTTGCGTATGTATTAAAGTAAAAACTACATATTTATTATAGCACAATATTCTATCAAATTGTAATAGTTGCTAACCATCCCACTACGGTATCCGGTTCTTTTTTTTCTGAAACTTCTCAACCTTCTTAGCGCACTCTTTTTTCCAAGGATTATTTTCCAAACGTATCTTTTGAACATTCTTGAAAATTGTTTCCAAATCTTCTTTAATACACTTTAACCTATTTCCACTGAGATCCAAACTAACAATGCTAACATTCCCCAATGTATCTGGATCCCAGTTATCAATCTCATTATCGGCCAAATTAAAATAACGAATCTGTTCCAATTTCCGAAAAGCTTTAGTTGAAATCTTCCTGATGTGATTCCCCTGAAGATTAATATTGAACAACCGAAAATAGTTCTTGAAAGCTTCATCTGGAATCTCAGTAATCTAATTAAAACGGACTGAGATAGAAGCGAACGGTGATGTCAGCCAATCATCCCATTGGGTTAGATTATTGGAGTCAATCTTCAACACTCTAAGCGCCAACATGCCATCAAAAGCTTTACTCGCAATTTTAACAATATGGTTTGCTGCTAGATTCAAGTAGGTGAGTTTGGTGTTGTTGAAAATACCATCTGGGATTTCTTTCAACTCATTTTTCTCGAGACTGAACGCCTCCAACTCTGGCAAGTTTCTCAAATCACCAGGTCGCAAAAGCTTGATTGAGTTATCATCCAAATCGAGTGATGCTAATTCTTGCATATCAAACACCTCCGGATCGATTTCCTCGAGTTTGTTACCAAACAGACTCAATGTAGTCAATCCAATTGCAGACAGAGCTTTTGGTGCGATGATGTAGAGATGATTATCACCCAAACTTAAGCTTCTCAGAGTAACATTTTCGAAGACACCACTTGAAATTTCAGTGAGTTTGTTCTTATCAAGTGACACGTGACCAGCTTTGAAATTCTTGAAGGCTCGTGGTTGTAAAAGGAAGATTGAGTTGGATGACAAATCCAGATATGATACATTTAGGGCCGGTTTATAGAACAGCGAGTTAAATATTTAATCCTCGATTAGTTTAACAGAGAATTAAAATGTGGAATATGAGCCCGTGATTGGTTAAAATATGCGCGTTGCCTCGCAACGGACCTTAGTTAAAAGTTAATCGCGAATTAACTTTAACTTCGCTTTCTATAAATCGGGTCTAAGATCGGTAAAAGTACCACTTTTGATTAGTGTCAAGTTATTCCGATTCAAAAAAAGAGTGTCTAAAAGTGGTAAATTACCAAAAGCTCCGGGCTTGATTTCTTCCAAACCCACGTCAGCCAGGTCGAGACTGTTCAAATTTGGTATGTCGAAAACGGATTTTTCGTACAAGATGGGGACGCCTCCGGTGATGTCCACCCTCACTGGTTGTTCGTCAGGAATTATTTTTTTAAGATTGACAGATGTAGCTTGGGTCTCTAGTGCTCCTTTGTAAAAATACGACCGAACTGTCACATTTTCGAAAGTAATTTTATCACTGTTACTAACATTGAAAAGACAAATACGGACTACTAGGTTTAGTAGTAAAGAAGGCATCTTGGTGACTGAAGGTGTTTACGTTGAATGTCGTATTTATAAGGTAATATCGAAAGGTATGTAGGTGTGACTGATGAATTGTTTTCCAACAAATTTGATTAAAATTAAGTTAGTCACATGTATGATACGGACTTTTAAAAAGAATTTGATAGATTCGTGGCGGAATGAATTTTCATTATTAGATAAATATTCAAATCGAGGATACGCTTATCTCGTCAGTTACTTACTCATCCGACCTTCATTACTGAAAACTGCTTGAAAAGAACTAAAACATAACGATACTGTACGATTTTCTGTCTATCCAGTTGTTAAAACTTTTTATAATCCACAACAACTTTTACAATCCCTTCATTATCTTTTATTGATACCCCTTCTCGATTCATTTCAAGAATTTTCAATAAGTTAGATTACAACATCGCTTTCAAAACTAAAAAAAGTCTTACTTAAATGTTAATGATTATTGCCCTACTATCGACATCTAATGTACACGTTCCAAATTTTACAAAAAAAAAAAAAAATATTAAAACAACTCGCTCATATTATCCGTTCAAAAATTAAAATACCACTCAATCGACAACATTGTCCAGAGAGATTTTTGGTGCCAAGATGTGCTGTCAAAGAAATTGAAGTTAGGACGAATATGATTTTTATTCAAAATACGTCGCTTTTGTTTATTTTATTTTGACGTTTTTGTTATGAAATTTCAAATTTTAAGTTTTTTGTACTACCAACTTGCCAGTGTAAAAATAAACCCTAGAGGGATTTTATTTGGTTTCTTAATTTTGGAATAAACAATTCGCTGCGTTCACTCGGGAAATTGATGAAAAATTATGGCCAATTTGTTGAGGTGTCTTTTGGTCTATTTCTTGAAGACAGTTGTAAACACTCATAATTAAAATCCAAAATCGCTCTATCCGTATTTTCCTCGTCATCATAACAAACTAAATGTATTAATATCACTACAAAATTTAGTGTGTTTTCATTGGTCCATGCGGGGAAATGTTCACTTGATACTATGCTATCATTGGTCGATGCAGGGAGCTTGTCGATCGAAAAATTTTTGACTAAAAAAATGTTCACGTAAGTCGCCTATGATTTGTCATAATTTGATTTTTCTCACAATTTTTTTGGACGAAATTTTCGAAGGAAAATAGTCTTAAGAATTTATTTCGCTTGAAATAAGCATTGAATTAAAAATTTTAAATATATACAATTAAATTTATTCTTAAAATAAAACAACAGTTGTCCTATCTGCCCATGTATTAATCCAAGAACTGCATACTTATTATAGCACAATAATCTATAGAATTGGTTTAGTTGGTAACAATCCCACCAGGATATCTATTTTTTTCTTCTGCTGAAACTCCACAATCTTCTTAGCGCATTCTTCCTCCCAAGGATTTTTATCCAAATATACAATTTGAACATTTCTGAAAATTGTCTCCAAATCTCCTTTAATGCACTTCAATCTATTTCCACGGAGATCCAAACTAACAATGCTAACATTACCCAGTAAATCTGGATTCCAGTTATCAATCTCATTATAGGCCAAATTTAAATGATCAATGTGTTGTAATTTATAAAAAGCCTGAGCTGAAATCTTCCTAATTTTATTCCCCCGGAAATCAATTCTGGTCACATTAGAATAATTCTTCAATACTTCGTCTGGAATCTCAGTAATCAAATTATAACTGATTGAAATTTCAGAAATTGATTTTGCCTCACTCAGCCAATTATTATCCCAATCTGTAATCTTATTGAAGTCAAGTCTCAATAATGTAAGCTCACGAATGTCCTCAAACGCTTTACTCGCAATTTTAGCAATCTGGTTGTTGCTTAGATCCAACTTGGTGAGTTTGGTGTTGTTGAAAACCCCTTCTGGAATTTCTTCCAATTGGTTTTCCACAAGCCAGAGTTCCTTCAACTCTGGCAAGTTTCTCAAATCACCAGGCCGCAGAAGCTTGATTGAGTTTGAATCCAAATCGAGTGATACTAACTCTTGCATGTCAAAAATTTGCGGATCAATTTCCTCGAAATTGTTACTAAACAAATTCAGTTCTGTCAATCCAATTGCAGACAGAGCTCCTGGTGCGATGGTGTGTAGACGATTAAGAGCCAAACCCAAGATTCCAAGAGTAACGTTCTCAAAGACATCACTTGAAAATTCAGTGAGTTTGTTATTATCAAGTGACACGGAAACAGCTTTCAAATTCCTGAAGACTCCTGGTTCTAGAAGGGTGATTGAGTTGGATAACAAAACTACCTGCGATACATTTAGATTGGTAAAAGTAGCAGTTTTGATTTCTGTCAAGTTGTTCCCATAGAGAAGGAGATCTTCCAAAAGTGGTAAGTTACCAAAAGCTCCCGGTTCGATTTTTTCCAAACCCACGTTGGACAGGTCAAGGTTCTTCAAATTTGGTACATCAAAAATCGATTTTTCGTACAAGATGGGAACGTGTCCCAAGATTTTCACCGACACTTGTTCTTCGTCAGGAATGATTTTCTTAAGTTTCTCAGACGTAGCTACCGTTTTTTCCACTTTGTAATTAAGACGCCACAGAACTGTTACATTTTCGAAAGTAATTTTTTCGCTCTCACTAACTTTAACAAGTAAAATACAGATTAGTACGTCTAGCAGTGAAGAACGCATCTTGATTACTGAACTTATTCACGATAAATGTTGTATTTATAATGTAATGTGGAAAGGTTAAACTGAGTTGTTTTCCAATACATTTAATTAAGATTAAAATAGTTACATGTATGACAACCACTTTTAAAAAGAATTGCTAAGATCTTTGGTGAAATTAATTTTCTTTATTTGATAAATATTCAAATCAAGGAAAGGACGTACTCTTGGTAAGCGACCTTTACTCATCCCACGTTCACTACTAAATGTTTTGAAACCAACAAAACCTTAAAGAATTCAATAAAAGTAAAATCACCGGCAACAATTGATGTCAGTCTTAATGGTACAGGTAGTGGGATATACAAGAAAATTGCTTTACTGGTCAATTAGATGTGGGTCGTCGTTTTCTTTAAAAAGTGGCCTTCATAATGCTTAATGATATTTAGAGCAAAAAATACAACGGCTTTATTAGAAATACAGCAAAGACAAGTTTTTTCATTCTAATAATTTCTAATAAAAAAATTATTTCTGAAAACTTGTTTACTCTGGAAGTGTTATTTGTAACTACCTGATTGGTAAATTATAAATCGAACATCTGGGGTTGAGCGTATAATAGTGAAAAGACCCAACGACACAAACAAAGTCATAAAAATTGTTTGTGCATTGTTCCTGAAACGGGACAAGGTTTTGAAAAATTCCTTCCTCGAATTTTGATTTTATAAAGACGCTTATAAAGTAATGATGGTTACCAAAAAATTAGCGAGTGATTAATATTTAGTTTTATTAAATTTATTTCATCTAATGAAAAAATAATGCTCAACTGCAGTATTTACTATACAATACATCAGATGTTTGGGGCGTGCATTCGGACTTTCCCTTTTTTCGGTATTTATGTTTATTGCACTTTACAGTGAAGCATTCCAATATTTCCATCCAGTTGGTTCTCAACTACCGAAACTTTCTCGTGTATCCGTTACTCACTTCATTTTTAATGCAGTTTTGTGAAAATCTCTGCCATTCAGTGTAGATTGTACTAGGTAAGTTAATATCTAATAAAGTAATTATTTTAATTTTTACGTGTGTTTCTGTTGTTTTTGATAACTGTACGTAGATAACAAAAGCAGTTTTTTCAGATAAGCTGGAAAGACCACCATTAATCACTGAAGATACTCCCACTGATGATGAAGAACTTACGGTGATTGTTTTTGAAAATGAGGCGCCATAAAATTTTGCAAAGTATGTTATTTTACTGCAATTTTTTATGAACTAATGCTAATGAACATAATTTTATTCTAGATTTGAAACAAATACAAAACACAGGTGCGAAACGAAAGAAATGCTAACGGAAACGAGTGAAAAAATCTCCAACATGGAAACGTCATCAAATCTGACATCTGAAAAAGACAACAAAAGTAGAAGTTATGCCGCCAAGACCACACCTAAATAAATTTTGACGAATTACAAGATTATCTTTGCCTGTTAGAACAAGCAGATTTCTTTGTAAGTTAAAAAAATACAATGAATTCATATATACATATAACATAATATTGGATATTATATACAGGTAGATGCCTGTAATACTACGATACTTTTTGGCACATTTCGCTTCATTGTAAAAAGTATTGACAACGATATTTTCCTATACGTTTTTGTCAATGCAACCATTTTATTATTATCCGTTAGATTCAAGTAAATTTAGCATTTTTAAAATGCAAAATTTGTCTTCTGTTTTAATCTGTAATCCCTTAAATTTAATAATAGCCAAATGCTTGCACATAGACGAAAAAATTCTTGCATTTCCATTAATCCATGCACTCTAACGGCTTTTACTTTTCAGTGCAATAAATTGAAGCAAACCTAAAAAACTTAATATGATTGTTAAAACAATTAAGAATTAATTCTTAACGGCACTTTTTTGTGTGTTGGAGACAGTCAAGTCGTCGTGAATTAGATTGTTTTATACAGTGCATTTTCAAATCAAGTAACTTCAACAATGCGATTCAATTGTCTTTTCCCATTATTCTAGTTTTTTTTTAAATATTTTTTGTAAATAGATTTGTTTGTGTTTTTAAGACTGATTTATAGTTTATTATAGTTTTCTTTTAATATTCTTTGTAACTAAATAGATTTCTTTGTGTTTTTAAAACTGATTTTTTTTTTAAATAGCATACTTTATTGCAACGTTTATTTTTGATTATGTATTGTATATTATCCTTTTTTTTTTGTTTATACTAATTATACTCGTAATTACCTGTATGTAGATTATAGATGTGTTTCTGTTCTTAGGAGTGGTTTATCTTTAATTTGTTTAATTTACATATATTTTGTTATTTGTTTATTGAAGTTCATTGTTGGTTGTACAGAATTGTAGTAAATTTATTTTTTTTACACTAATTTGTTTTAAGTTTAATTAATATATGTTTTGTTTTGGGGTTTACCTGGTGATTTAACGAATTATAATATTTTATTTAAGGTAAACAATATAAAAATTTAAAATTATTTCAGCGTTTTATTTATTGCATTTTTTTTTCTAAAAATCAAAATATAAAAAACGTCTTAAAATGGACAATAAATGCCGTCTCAAAGACGTCAGTACATCACGTCAATAGTTCGTTAGAAAATGACATCATCTGGACGAGACATTTGACCGTCATTAGTACGTCAATATCACGTGAAATCTTTGGTCACTATGACGTAAATGATGACCATTTATTCACGTGAAAAAGACGACATCATGTTGCCTGTGACCCGGTGAACTTCGTTTCACCTACAATTTAATTTTGAATCTGCAAAACCGAATGCTTTGAAATCTTGCAGATGTTTTAAACATATCATAAGCATAATAAATTTTTATTCAAAATATATTTACTTCTCCCCTCAAAAAAACTGATGACGTCAGCCCAAAATTTTTCCAAGTGAATCCTATCTAAAATGTCCAAAATAGGATGAGACTATACTATACTTGTGATTTATCATTCCATTCATATTTTTTAGTTTTGCTTATAGGAAGTGTCTCAAAAAAATTAATCACTGAGTCAATTTATTTTATTGATTGAATCAAGAATTGCAAAAATGAATTTTGAAATTTTGCAGACGTTTTGAAGTTACTGTTTGACATGGTACGTTTTTAATCAAAATATATCTGTTTATCAAGCGCAAAAACTTGATGACGTCATCTCAAGATTTTGCCGAATAAATCCTATCTAAAATGTGCAAAATATCATCAATATATTTTCGTAATTTATCATTGCATCCATATTTTTTAGATTTGCTTTTACAGTGACTCAAAAAAATATATGGATAAGTCAATATATGTTAGTGAATAACTTAAGAGTTGCAGAAATGAATACTTTGAGATCCTGCAGACGTTTTAAAGTTATTGTACGCATGGTAAATTGTTAAGAATATTTATTTATCCCCCCCAAAAAATTGATGGAACGGCTCACTCGATTTTCGCAGATAATTTTGGAAATACAATACAGTTATTTTTAGTATTACACTGCACCAATCCAACGTGGTATACGTGTTGATAGTAAATGTTGATTAGGTCATGACAAAATTGTGTGAAGAAAAGACTCAATTCGAAAATGCTGAATATGTTTCATTATACTTTTGCTGCGAAGGAAGTTCTGTCGAAACAACGTTCAATCAATTTTTTGACAATGGTTGATATAAATAAAACTCAGTAGATGCTCATACTCGAATATCAAATCAAAATATTTCTAGTTTTTCTAGATGATGGTAATACTTCAGTAGGTAACAGTTGATGGTCAAGTAGCATCTCGATACAACAAAAAAGGAAAACAGTGACAGTGTTCAACCATCAAGGCAAAAATCCAGTCACCAAAATATAAGTTAGTATGGGGTAGACACCTTGAGATGGGAATCTCTATGGCCAGTGTTAGAAAGAACGCACTGCACAATTTATGCATAAATAAAAGTTAATTACCTGAAAAGTTTTCGATATTCCCGCTCCTAATGTGTTTTTCAAACTGAATCCACCTTTTGACGACGTTCCACGTTCATGAACAACGACTTGAAATGCAATAATACTTTTCACAATCGCACGGAATCGCACGCAGGTCCGTCAGGAATGGCCAACTATTCAAATTCATTCGAAGTGGCGATTCCCGTGCAAAATTTTTATTTTTTTTTTTTATCTTTTAGCCGTCTTATTTTTGATAAATATTCTTACATATAAACCTTGTCCTGACAATAAGGAACACGTAAAAAAATGAATCGTCCAATTCGGTGCAGTCGTTCTGAAATTATGGGCGTACATACATTTCGGCGATTCATTTTTATTAATATAGATAGATAGATTAGAAAATAATCATGAGAACTTGAATAAATAAAAATTGAATTAAAATTTTCAAATACAATAAAATTATTCTTAAAAAAAACAACAGTTGTTCTATTTGCATATTTATTAATGTAAAATTTACATATATATTACAGCACATAACTCTATAAATTCATAATGTATAGTTGGTAACCAACTCACTACGGTATCTGAAACTTCTCAACCTTTTTAGCACGTTCAGGGATACCATCTGGGTCCGCTACTTTTCCTTACTTATATAAATGATATTAAACAGACAATTCGAAACTCTAAGTTTGCCATAGATGATTTGACTAGACTAATAGAATGGTGTTGTATAAAATGGCTTGGACCGCAATAGGGACAAATGCAAAGCTTTACAATACAGAAAGAAACCTGAGTGTGATCCTCCTAGTCATTTTACAAAAGATAGATTTTAGAAGCTGTAGACAGCATCAGGGATTTGGGTGTTATTCTTGATAAAAAAATTACATTTAATTTACATATTGAATTTGTATACAACCGTATGTCAGTCTTATATGTTTCATTAGTTAGACCCATACGGTAATTTGGTGTCCGTTGTTCAGACGGCCTGGGTAAACTCAACAATTTATTTCATACTAACTCGAATTTACACGACTAACTATTACAAGAATTAAGTACGAAATAATTCCGGCGCGACTTGACTGGACTCTCTCGACTCCAATGGCTGAACAATTCTCGTTCTCGAAGGTGGCCTCTATTTAAACACATACTTCCTTCTAGATGTGCGGCGATCGGAATATTTCTGGATTGCCGTTCGTGACTTCCGCTTCCAGGCTTTTCTTTAGCGATCCGCTGCTCGGTCGTTGTCGTTGACAATGAGTCATCATGGGCGTACAGACCAGAAAGCTCTAAACGGTCCATAGGCGTCGTATGGGTTTATTTCGTAACAATATTGCTAGGAAACCTATGTTTTTATAGGTAGATTATCATAGAACTTTATGTAGTCTAAATTCTCCATTGGGTAAATAATGTATATATGTCAATAAATTTCTTCAGTGCGAATGTTTAAAATTTTAACAGAACATTAAGTATATATTTATAAATAACCATTGTAAATTGTCATGAGCGTTAGTAGACTTCATGTGATATACTTAATTTCAAATAACATTTCTTCAATTTAGCACAAAAAGATAAAACTTTCGCTAAAGACATAATATGGAGACTATTTTCACTTACGAATCCTCTCAAACTCCATGATAACAACTCTTTTGTTAATTGTTTTATAATAAATAATCTCATATGCTACGGGTAGTAATTTTATGTCAGTCTGGAATCTTATTAGCTATTAGATTATAATAACTGGCATTCACTAATGGTGTGTTACTCTCTACAAAAAAACAACTGTTCTTCTAACTGCATGTGTATTAAACCAAAAACTACATTTGTGTTAAATCAGTGTTACATATTTATAAAATTAGAATCCGCCTTAATCAACTAACTCCTCTGGCGTTTGAATAAACTCCTCTATCTTGTTAACACACTCTTCATTCCAAGGATTATTTCGCAAATTTGTAACTTCAACGTTTTTGAAAACCGTCTTCAAATCTCCTTCAATACACTGTAACTTATTTCCATTGAGACCCAAGAGAACAACATTAACATTCCCCAACAAATCTGGACTCCAACTATCAATATCATTAGAGGCCAAGTTTAAATAAAAATCAACATGTTCCAACTTATCAAATGCTTTGGCTGAAATCTTCCTAATTTTATTCCCCTGAAGACCAATACTTGTCATACGAGGATAATTCTTGAACGCTTCGTCTGGAATCTCCATTATCTGATTAAAATTGACTGAAATATGAGCAAGTGATTTTGCCCCTCTCAGCCAATTATTATCCCACTGGGTTAGATTATTGGAGTTAATGTACAATGCTACAAGGTCTGGCATGTCATCAAAAGCTTTTCTCGCGATTTTAGCAATCTTATTTCCGTTTAAATCCAACCGAGTGAGTTTGGTATTGTTGAAAACCCCCTCTGGGATTTCTTTCAATTCGTTTCTCGCAAGTCTAAGTATCTTCAACTTTGGTAAGTTTCTCAAATCACCGGGTCGCAGAAGCTTGACTAAATTTACATCCAAATCTAGTGCTATTAATTCTTGCATGTCAAAGACCTCTGGTTGGATTTCCTCGAGTTTGTTCCCAAACAGACTCAATCTGGTCAATGCAATTGTTGACAAAGCACTTGGTGCGATGGTGTGAAGAAGATTGTCACTCAAACTCAAGCTTCCAAGAGTACAATTTTCGAAGACACCACTTGGAAGTTCTGCGAGTTTGTTGTTATCAAGCTCCACGCGTACAGCTTTGAAATTTTTGAAAGCTCCTGGTTGTAGAAGGACAATTGAGTTGGATGGCAAGTCTATGTAAGATACATTTAAATCGACAAAAGTATCAGTTTTGATTTCTGTCAAGTTATTCGAATCCAGAAAGAGAGCTTCTAGAAGTGGTAAATTACCAAAAGCACCGGGTTTGATTTCTTCCATACCTACACCGGATAGGCTGAGTAGGTTCAGATTTGGTATATCGGAAACTGATTTTTCGTACAAGATGGGAATGCTGCCATCGATCCACACGAGCACTTTTTCTTCTTCAATAGGAATGATTTTTTTAAGATTGTCAGATGTATATACGGTTTCTTGCTTCTCCTTACCAACATACCATCGAACTGTCACATTTTCGAAAGTAATCTTTTCAGTGTTACTAACTTTCAAAAGAAAAGTACACAGGAGTAGGTTCACTAGTGAAGAACGCATCTTGATAACTGGAGCTGTTTATGCTGACCGTTGTATTTATACGGTAATAAAGGATTTTCCAACACGTTTTATTAAAATCAAGTTACTCACTTAATGACTGTTTCTTGGATTCGTAGTGAAATAAATTTTCTTTATTAAAAAAATATTCAAATCAAGGCAGCGCTAGATTTTTGTTAAATGCGATTACTCATCGAACTGTACTACTTTAAGGAATTGTACCATTGTCTATCTAAAACTTTATATTATTTTATCGGGGACACCTACCGTGTTGAACAAAAAATAATGTCAAATCTACACAATTAAACTCGTTTTTAAAAAAAACAGTTGTTCTATCTGCACATGTTTTAAAACAAAAACTGCATATTTATTACAGCACAGTACTCTATAGAATCAGCATAGTTGATAACCATCGCATCAATATAGTTCCTAACCTATTGTTCTTTCTACTGAAACTCCTCAATCTTCTTAGCGCATTCGTCCTCCCAAGGATTGTTATCCAAATATACAATTCGAACATTTCTGAAAATTGTCTCCAAATCTTCCTTAATACACTTTAACCTATTTCCACTGAGATCAAAACTAACAATTGTAACATTACCTAATAAATCTGGATTCCAGTTATCAATCTCATTATTGGCCAAATTTAAATGATCAATGTTATAAAAAGCTTTAGCTGAAATTTACCTAAGTTTATTCCCCTGGAAATCAATATTGGTCAGATTAGAATAATTCTTGAAAACTTCGTCAGGAATCTCAGTAATCAAATTATACCTGACTGATGATACTTCAGAAACTGATTTTGCCCCACTCAGCCAATTATCATCTCAATGTGTAACATTATTGGAGTCAATGTCCAACACACCACAAGTATCGGTTTTGATTTCTATTAAGTTGTTCGAATATAGAAGAAGACTTTCCAAAGGTGGTAAGTTACCAAAAGTTTCCACTTCGATTTCTTCCAAATCCACGTTGGACAAGTCAAGTCTTTTCAAATTTGATATATCGACACTTGGGTTACATCGGGAATGATATTCTTAAGACTCTCAAATGTAGCTACCGATTCTATTAGTTCGTTATTAACACGCCACTGGACTGTCACATTCTCGAAAGTAATGTTTTCGCTCTTGCTAACTTTAAGGAAAATACAGATTAGTAGGTCTAGCAGTAAAGAACGCATGTTGATTACTGAAGTTGTTTACGATAAACGTTAATTTGAATAAAATTAAGTTGTTCACATGTATGACGCACACTTGTAAAAGCAACTTGTTGGATTCGTAGTGAAATTAATTTTCTTTATTAGATAAATATTCAAATCAAGGAAATGCGCAATTCTTGTTAAACGACTTTTACTCATCCGACCTTCTCGACTGTTTCGAAAACAACAAAATCTTGAAGAAATAGAGAAAAACTAAATCACCGGAAAAATTTTCTAAAAACAATAAAATTTTTTCAGCATATACTCGTACTGCTCATGGCGCGTTACGGACGGCCTACATATTAAACGACATCAGTTTTGCATACACTACAGGGGCTAAATTCGATCTGTTTCTATGAGGTGATAAGAACAACACTAATATTTCACAAATATAAAATTAGTTTCTTTCTGAAACCCTTGAACCGGTATATAAAAGTGTGACAATCAAATTAGTTGATTAACCGATCACGTGATGAAATTTATCGAATCATGTTAATTGATGGACCGACAATAAAAATTATTATTAAAAATTACACAATTTACACTACGAAATATATTTTTTTTTTGTGAATTTCAAAATTCACAATTAAATTTTGCCTTTTTTTTTTGGATATACGTAACAATCTTTTCACGACAATATATTTAATGTTTAAAATGGTCAGTTTTTCTCGAGAAACATCGATTTTACAATTAAGTTCCGCCCCACGGTCTGATAACGAATGAAAAATTCATCACAATTAAATTGGGGCGGGTGGGTGGGGCTTATTTTTTGGATTTGTTTTCCTTAACATATACATCTTGTTTAAAAACATGTTTCACATAGTAATTTCTTGTAGAGAAATAAGCATTTTCCAATAAACTTCGCTCTGGTGCTCACAACGAATAAAAACCTTATCACAATTGAAATGAGGGTGGGTGGGCGGGGTTTGTATTTTGTTTTTTTTTTTTTCTTAAAAGATGTGCCTACTTTTCTTTTCACGACAAGAAACTGAAAACATGTTTAAAAGGATAAATCTGTAGAGAAGTATATGGGATAGAATTTACCATTTTAAACATGTTTTCAGTTTCTTGTTATGGAGAAAAAACAATATATATTAAGAAGAAAAAAAAAAGCAAAACATAAGCCCCACCCACCCACCCTATCTCAATTGTGACGCTCTTTCTTTGTTCGTCATTAGTCAAAGGGGGCGGAGCTTAATTGCAAAATCCGTTTTTCTAGAAAAATTACCACGTGATACATGTTCTTCAGTGATGCTCAGAGAAAAATATTTGTGTTTTAAGTAACAAAAAACAATAATCCCCACCCATCCGTCTGGATCTCAATGGTGATGAATTTTCAATTCGTTGTAAGACTGGGGGGCGAAACATAATTACAAAATCCATATTTCCTGATTTAAACACGTTTTAAGTTTCTTGTTGCGAAAAGAACACTACGAATATTAAGAACAACAAAGGCAAAATATAAGCCCCGCCCACCCACCCCACGTCTATTGTAATGAATTTTTTATTCATAGTGAGCCAAGAGGGTGGACCTTAAAATCCTTATTTCTCTACAGGAAATTATCATATAAAACATGGTTTTAAGTATCGTGTTGTTCAAAAAATACTATGTACATAAAGTAAAAAATAAAGCCAAAGATTAAGCCCTACGCATAGCCATCTCAACAAAAAAAACTAATAAACTTTAATAAATTCATGGAAAAAAAAATATCTTGAACTTATTTTAATTGACGAAAACGTTTTCTTGCTTTCTTATAATGTTATAAAATTTGATTTTGCGATTTTCGCTTTCGTGATAACAACGGAAAATTTGGAAAAGATCTGATTGTTAATTGTATCAGAAAAAAAAGTGCATAAATCTGTGCATATTTAGCAAAATTGTGCTAATTTCGAATTTCAAGTTTTTAGTACTACCAACTTGCCAGTGTAAAAATAAGCCCTAGTGGGGATTTTATTTGGTACCAACTTAATTCAACTGGTGGTAGTTTGTTAATTTTTGGATAAACAATAAAACAGATTTGTAGTGGACAAAACCACCGAGTGTTATGTCGCCAATTTATTAATAGAATATCTTTACTTTAGAGGTAACTTTCCGCCTTGTTTTTTTAAAAGTGTACGCAAAAAGATCTTAAATAAAATTAGGCGTACTATAAATAATAATTACACATATTTATTTTGTAGTGAATGAAACCATCAAGATTTGTCGGAGTTAAGTCACCAGTTTTTTTTTTTCCTACGATCTGAAAGAAATTTACCGGCTTATGTTTAGTTTGCAACTTTTCGAAAATCTTTGAATCTATTCTTAATGAACGTATTTACACTCTGTTAAAATCTGGCTGACAGAAATTGCTCTCCTTTTAACATTTTTCACGTTTATAAAATTGTACGAATACGTCTTGATCAATCAGTAAAATACGATGGGAAAAATTACATGTTTGATAAATCGTCAAAAGTAAAAATTAAATAAAAATATTCAAAATAAAAAAAAATCTCCACGAAAAGAAACAAAAGTTGCATAACTGAAAAAGTAACATTTAATCAAAAACCACAACATTAAGCCAGAAACTAGCATAAAATTAGGATACATCCACCTTCTTGTTCATTATAAACTCCTCAACCTTCTTAACACACTGTTCATTCCAAGGATTATTCTCTAAATGGGTACTTTCAACATTTCTGAAAACTGTCTCCAAATCTCCTTCAATACAGGATAACTTATTTTCCTTCAAATCCAAACTACCAACACTAACATCAACCAATAAATCTGGATTCCAGTTATCAATCTCATTATTGGCCAAATTTAAATAATCAATGTGTTCTAATTTATAAAACGTTTTAGCTGAAATATTCCTAATTTTATTTCCCTGGAAATTAATACTTGTCACATCAGAGTTATTCTTGAATACTTCGTCTGGAATCTCAGTAATCAAATTATACCTGACTGATACTTCAGAAACTGATTTTGCCCCACTCAGCCAATTATCATCCCAATGTGTAACATTATTGAAGTCAATGTTCAACACTCTAAGCGCAGACATGTCGTCAAAAGCTTTACTCGCAATTTTAACAATATTGTTTGTGGCTAGATACAAATAGATGAGTTTGGTGTTGTTGAAAACCCCTTCTGGGATTTCTTCCAACTCGTTTCCCGAAAGCCAGAGTTTCTTCAACTCTGGCAAGTTTCTCAAATCACCAGGTCGCAGAAGCTTGATTGAGTTGTAATCCAAATCGAGTGATACCAATTCTTGCAGGTCAAAGACTTCCGGATCGATTTCTTCGAAATTGTTCCCAAGCAAATACAATTTTGTCAGTCCAATTGAAGACAGAGCCGTTGGTGGGATGGTGTGGAGAAGATTATCATTCAAACTCAAGCTTCCAAGGGTAACGTTCTCAAAAACACCACTTAACAATTCAGTGAGTCTGTTGCTATCAAGTGACACGATAGAAGCGTTGAAATTCTTGAAGGCTCCTGGTTCTAGAAGGGTGATTGAGTTGAAAGACAAATCTACATTCGATACATTTAGATCGGAAAAAGTATCAGTTTTGATTTGTGTCAAGTTATTCCACGATAGAAGGAGATTTTCCAAAGGTGGTAAGTTACCAAAAGCTTGCGATTCGATTTCCTCCAAACCCACATCGGACAAGTTAAGTCCGTTCAAATTTGGTATATCGAAAATCGATTTTTCGTACAAGATGGGAACGTGTCCCAAGATGTGCACCGACACTTTGGTTACATCAGGAATGATTTTCTTAAGACTCTCAGATGTAGCTACCGATTCTATTAGTTCGTTATCAACACGCCACCGGAATGTTACATTTTCGAAAGTAATTTTTTCGCTCTTACTAACTTTAACAAGTAAAATACAGATTAGTAGGTCTAGCAGTAAAGAACGCATCTTGATTACTGAAGTTGTTTACGATAAATGTTGTATTTATAATGTAATGTGGAAAACAGATTAACTGGATTGTTTTCCAATACATTTGATTAAAATTAAGTTGGTCATATGTATGACGCACACTTGTAACAAGAATTTGTTGGATTCGTAGTGAAATTAATTTTCTTTGTTAGATAAATATTCAAATCAAGGAAATGCTGTATTTTTATTAAGAAACTTTCACTCATCCGACCTTCACGACTGTTTTGAAAACAAGAAAATCTTGAAGAATTAAAGAAAAACTAAATCAACGGGAGCAATTTTCTAAAAACAATAACATTTTTCAACATAGACTGCTCATGGCGCGTTACGGACAGCCTACATATTAAACGACATCAGTTGTGCATACACTACAGGTGCAAAATTCGATCTGATTCTGTGTGGTCATAAGAACAACACTAATGTTTCACAAATATAAAATTAGTTTCTTTCTGAAACCCTTGAACCGGTATATAAAAGCGTGACAATCAAATTAGTTGATTAACCGATCACGTGATGAAATTTATCGAATCACATGTTAATGGATGGACCGACAATAAAAATTATTATTAATTTATTGCCTTTTTTTCTGGATATACGTAACAATCTTTTCACGACAATATATTTAACGTTTAAAATGGTCAGTTTTTCTCGAGAAACATCGATTTTACAATTAAGTTCCGCCCCACGGTCTGATAACGAATGAAAAATTCATCACAATTAAATTGGGGCGGGTGGGTGGGGCTTATTTTTTGGATTTGTTTTCCTTAACATATACATCTTGTTTAAAAACATGTTTCACAAGTAATTTCTTGTAGAGAAATAAGCATTTTCCAATAAACTTCGCCCTTCTGCTCACAATGAATAAAAACTTTATGACAATTGAAATGAGGGTGGGTGGGCGGGGTTTGTATTTTGTGTTTTTTTTTTTAAACATGTGCCTACTTTTCTTTTCACGACAAGAAGCTGAAAACATGTTTAAAAGGATAAATCTGTAGAGAAGTATATGGGATAGAATTTACCATTTTAAACATGTTTTCAGTTTCTTGTTATGGAGAAAAAACAATATATATTAAGAAGAAAAAAAAAGGGAAACATAAGCCCCACCCACCCACCCTATCTCAATTGTGACGCTCTTTCTTTGTTCGTCATTAGTCAAGGGGGGCGGAGCTTAATTGCAAAATTCGTATTTTTCTAGAAAAATTACCATGTGATACATGTTCTTCAGTGATGCTCAGAGAAAAATATTTGTGTTTTAAGTAACAAAAAACAATAATCCCCACCCATCCGTTTGGATTTCAATGGTGATGAATTTTCCATTCGTTGTCAGACTGGGGGGCGCAACGTAATTACAAAATCCATATTTCCTGATTTAAACACGTTTTAAGTTTCTTGTTGCGAAAAGAACACTACGAATATTAAGAACAACAAAGGCAAAATATAAGCCCCGCCCACCTACCCCACGTCTATTGTAATGAATTTTTTATTCATAGTGAGCCAAGAGGGTGGACCTTAAAATCCTTATTTCTCTACAGGAAATTATCATGTAAAACATGTTTTTGAGTATCGTGTTGTTCAAAAAATACTATGTACATTAAGTAAAAAATAAAGGCAAAAATTAAGCCCCACCACCATACCCATCACCATAAAAAAAAATAATAAACTTTATTCAATTCATGGATAAAAGACTATCTTGAACTAATTTTAATTGACGAAAACGTTTTCTTGCTTTCTTATAATATTATAAAATTTGAGTTTGCGATTTTCGCTTTCGTGATAACAACGGAAAATTTGAAAAAACATCTGATTGTTAATTTTAACAGAAAACAAAGTTTGGTTAACATTTCATAGTCTATATGATATTCATAATACACATCAAATTTGTCTAACCCATTTATCTGTCTAATAAAAATCCGTGACGGCAGACAGATAGAGAGACAGACGGACAGACGGACAGACAAACAGACGGAAATGGGCGACCTATTTCTTCGTACGCTAGGTCATGAAAGGTCGAGAAAGTGTGAAAGTAGAAAGTAAAAAAACAACAGTTGTTCTATTTGCATATGTATTACAGTAAACACTATATATTTATTATAGCACAATATTCTATAACATTGTAATAGTTGCTAACCATCCCACTACGGTACCTGTTTCTTTTTTTCCTGAAACTTCTCAACCTTCTTAGCACACTCTTTTTTCCAAGGATTATTTTCCAAATATATCTTTTGAACATTCTTGAAAATTGTTTCCAAATCTCCTTTAATACACTTTAACCTATTTCCACTGAGATCCAAACTAACAATGCTAACATTCCCCAATGTATCTGGATCCCAGTTATCAATCTCATTATCGGCCAAATTAAAATGACGAAGCTGTTCCAATTTGCGAAAAGCTTTAGTTGAAATTTTCCTGATGCGATTCCCTTGAAGATTAATATTGAACAACCGAGAATAGTTCTTGAAAGCTTCATCTGGAATCTCAGTAATCTGATTAAAACGAACTAAAATAGAAGCAGACGGTGATGTCAGCCAATCATCCCACTGGGTTAGATTATTGGAGTCAATCCTCAACAGTGTAAGCGCCAACATGCAATCAAAAGCTGTGCTCGCAATTTTAACAATCTGGTTTGCAGCTAGATTCAAGTAGGTGAGTTTGGTGTTATTGAAAATACCATCTGGGATTTCTTTCAACTCATTTTTCTCGACACTGAACGCCTCCAACTCTGGCAAGTTTCTCAAATCACCTGGTCGCAAAAGCTTGACTGAGTTATCATCCAAATCGAGTGATACTAATTCTTGCATATCAAACGCCTCCGGATCGATTTCTTCGAGCTTGTTACCAAACAGACTCAATGTAGTCAATCCAATTGCAGACAGAGCTTTTGGTGCGATGATGTAGAGATGATTATCAGTCAAACTTAAGCTTCTCAGAGTAACATTTTCGAAGACACCACTTGGAATTTCAGTGAGTTTGTTCGTATCAAGTGACACTTCATCAGCTTTGAAATTCTTGAAGGCTCCTCGTTGTAAAAGGAAGATTGAGTTGGATGACAAATCCAGATATGATACATTTAGATCGGTAAAAGTACCACTTTTGATTAGTGTCAAGTTATTCCGATTCAAAAAAAGAGTGTCTAAAAGTGGTAAATTACCAAAAGCTCCGGGCTTGATTTCTTCCAAACCCACCTTAGCCAAGTTGAGACTGTTCAAATTTGGTATATCGAAAACGGATTTTTCGTACAAGATGGGGACGCTTCCAGTGATGTCCACCCTCACTTGTTCTTCGTCAGGAATAATTTTTTTATGATTGACAGATGTAGCTTGCGTTTCTAGTGCTCCTTTGTAAAAATAAGACCGAACTGTCACATTTTCGAAAGTCATTTTATCACTGTTACTAACATTGAAAAGACAAATACGGACCACTAGGTTTAGTAATAAAGAAGGCATCTTGGTGACTGATGGTCTTCACGTTGAATATCATATTTATAAGGTAATATGGAAAGATATGTGGGTGTGATCGATGAGTTGTTTTCCAACAAATTTGATTAAAATTAAGTTAGTCACATGTATAACATGGACTTTTAAAAAGAATTTGATGGATTCGTGGCGAAATGAATTTTCATTATGAGATAAATATTCAAATCGAGGATATGCTTATCTCGTCCAGTTACTTACTCATCAGACCTTCACTGTTGGAAATTGCTTGAAAACAACAAACCATTGAACCATTTTCTGTCTATGCTGTTGTTAAAATTTTTTATATATATAGTTTATTTACGGCAAAAAAGCCTTTACAGCATACATCGGTACATGGAAAGAACGATAACACAAGGTACACATGGTTCAAAAAGATTACAATAATATAGCTCTAATATTTCTCTTAAAAGTGGGTAACATGTCCGCAAAGAAGTCAACATAATCACTTACACTATTACATGCAAACATTAGAGAATTCATGGGTGATCGTAACGCATAATTAGACTGGCAAAAATCTATGTAGAACAACGGAACTGACCTGAGGGTATAACAAGGGACGTTAAACTGCAGTAAATTAATAATATTCGGTACGTCATATTGATTATTTAATACTTTATAAACGAAACATACTTTTAGAAAAAGTCTACGAGATTCTAATAAATCAAGTCCTAAGTAGGATCTACTAAGTTCCATGGAAGAACTTACATTCGTGGGTAACCCATGAAGCATGGATCTTATAAATTTATGCTGAATTTTTTCAATTCTCTCAACATGAGTCCTGTAGTATGGGGCCCAGATTAAACACCCATATTCAAGTACAGATCGCACAAATGTAATAAACAATATAGTCAGGGTGCGAACATCGGTAAAGTTCCTAGTAAACCTTTTAATACACCCAAGCAATTTATTTGCTTTGGCGATAACAAAGTCACAATGAAATTTAAAGGTTAATTTGCTATCTAGGAAGACTCCAAGATCTTTGATCACAGTATTTATTTTCAGAATTTTGTTGTCAATCAAATAACACGGTTTATTAGGCTTTATTTTCCTACTGAAGTTAATGGCCTGACACTTATCAAGATTTAATACCATCAAGTTTTTAGCACACCATTTCGTTAAACAATCAAGATCATGTTGCAATAATTTCATATCTGATTCGTCTTTTATAACACTGTACATTTTAAGGTCATCAGCAAACAGGGCAAATTTACAAAGAAAATTACAGCTAACATCATTAATATATATCAAAAATAGCAAAGGTCCCAAAATTGAACCTTGAGGAACTCCTGAAGGCACATGCTGGAAATCAGATAGTAAATCATTCCATTTCACTTGCTGATATCTGTTGGTAAGATAACTGACAAGCCATGATAGCAATGAACCAGAAATTCCAAGTGACATAAGTTTATGAATCAAAATTTCATGATTGAGTTTATCAAAAGCTTTACTAAAATCAGTGTATACAGCATGTACCTCATGACCAGCATCAATAGTCGTTATAATGTC